TATTGTATAGACTTACGAAGGTGAAGTTTGTTGCGTATTTAATATTTGATATAAGGAAAATTATATTATACAGAATTAAATCTTACTGCATGATAAAGTTTAATTTCTATAGCTAAGACTGGTTCGGCTGACTTATTGCTAAACTTTTGTTCTAACCATTTTAATTTTTTGTTTTACAAAAAGTACCTTGCTAATTAAAGCCCACCGATTACTCTAGAAGTGATCTACGCCGGGTGAAAGTACCATAAATATCATTTATTTTTTTACATATAAGCTTAAAATTATTATCAGAACAATGATTTAAAAAAAACAAAAAGAATAATTCAGCCATAGCCGGTGACACACCGAGTTAAAAGCTAAGAAGATTGCATAGAATTCTGTTCTTTTTCAGCAGCTAAATGTTGGAAAACGTTTCATCAACTTTAATCCTTTATGGCATATAAGTCTCCATATCCCTCCTTTGTGTTTAATTCTGAAGTACTCCTCCGATCCTAAAGGCCTTGGTTCATGTAGCGTTCTTGAGTCAGAGGAATGAGCTGTGTATAAAGGCCTCAAATTGGCTTGGGATATGGGGTTTAAGAAGATAATTCTTGAATCTGATTCAAAAATGTGGTGTGACATGATTGTTGAAATAGGAACAAGTCCATGTATAGTCTCGTGATTATTCAGGTTATGAATATGCTAAAGCTCCAGTGGGGGTGAAAGTCTTGCATATATCGAGACAGCAAAACCGAGTAGCAGATTCTCTTGCAAGGGATGGGTTATCCAAGACAGCTTTTTTGACTACATGTCCTTCTCATTTGAGGAGCTTAGTTTCTGAACAGTGTCTGGGATCTAAATCCCCATCTACTTAGTTATTTTTGTTTGGGGCGTTTTGTCCTCTTTGTAACCCAAAAAAAAAAGAGTGGGTCCTGTATTTAGGATTGGAGGAGTATTCATTAAAACATTTGTGTACTTTTGTGAATAAGATGTGTGATTTTTTTAGTTATGTATAGATATTTTTATATTAAAACAATCTTATTCAGATATTGGTTTTCTCAAATCACGTTGTTAAAATCTGTATGATTGGCCCCATGCACATATGGTTTTGTCATTTTTGCGTCTGTGTTTTCAGTCTCCTTACTCGGTCCGTGTGTCATAAGGGATGGTTAGTTACTCTGTCAAGCATATTGTTTGGGTCTTCCTGTACGCGCGCGCGCACACACACGTATGTATACATACATATACATATATATAATATATATATAATATAATATTGACTGGCCAAAAAAGACCTAACAGAAATAATTTAATCTTAGCAAAGATTAACCAGTAGTTTTTTCGTTTTATTTGTACTTTTCTTTCCAGCATATAAAAAAAAAAAGATTAAACCAAAGCGAAATGAAGAAGTTACGAACTACTACCTACGGTTCTTAACGTAGGATCTTATTTGACTTTTATTTTGATCCTAAATATAATATTTTAATCTATTTTGTGTCTAATATTTATGTATTTTTTTCCAATATAGTCCTTCTAACAATAGTAGTTCTAACCAATACACTTAATTAGGAATAATATTTTAGGAAATACATCTATTTATGATAAATAACTAACTTAACTTCTATCTCTAATTTTCTCAAATTAGTTAACTAACTCTTATAATTAGGATCGGAAATAGTAATAAATATTGATACCAGCAATAGTTAAAGGGTTCTGACCACTTAAACATATAGTTTTGAATTTGAATGAGTTTATGTGAATGAAAAAACTTGCTGGTGAAATAATCCTGCGATTGAAGCAGCTAAATAGTTAATCAAGGAATCAGGCATGTTATTTATATCGTCGTGTGTGCATATTGCCTTTCCTCTTTCAAAGGAACCAGGTAACACTGTAAAAGAAGTCTCTGGCCAAAAAAAAAAAAAACTGCAAAAGAAGCAATGCGTATAAAATAATGAAGAATAAAAATCTTTAACCGCAACCTAAGCATTCAAAGATAACGGAACCTGAGCAATGCAGGCATTATGTCATTGCATTGGATGAGATGCGATTCAGCATCAATGAGGAGGTTTATTATGAGCATTTCACCTTTTTTTCCAAAGAAAAAAAAACTGTTTCTGGTTCTTAATATAAAAATTAGATAACTAATTTATTAATATTAAAAAAAATTAGTTCATTTAGTTATTTGTAATAAATATGTATTGTCTTTTTAAAAATGTCATTGTTACGAGGAAAAGTAGTATGATGGTCCTTATAGTTTTATTAGATTTCGAATCAGGTCCTATATTATTTTTGCTTTTAATTTAATCCTTGCTATTTATTTAACTATTTTTGTTAGTCCTGTCATTAACATAAGCCGTTAGTTTAAACTGATTAACTGATGGGGCATTATATTGAGCACGGAAAGGACATCGAACCCCCCCCTCTTCTCTCCCAGTTGCTTCTGCTCTCTTCTCCGGCAAAACATGAGAAAGGACGTTTGGGTCCTCCACGACTCAATGGTCTCCAATCTCTTATTCATCACTTGAAGCTCTTCATCCAATGTTTTCTAATCTTCCTTCAACCTTTCTATGTCCATCATCAACACTTCGTCCTGCACACTCTACTCATTCTTCCCCTGAAGCAACAGAGAAGCGAGTATTTACAGAGCCTAAAAAATTCTGACAATGATCGGTGAGGGGGTGCTGACAATGGTGGATCTGACACCTCTTGCAGCAAAAAATTCTAGCCATATCAACTACTCCTGGGTCCTCCGGTCCCGAATTATAAGACGCCAATTGACTTATTTGAGAAAATTAAGGAAGTAAGTTAAGTTGGTTATTTTATAATAAATAAATGTTGTTATTCCTAAAATATCCTTGCTAATTAAGTATATTGGCTAAAACTATCATTATTAGAAGGATTATCTGGAAAAAAAATGCATAAATATAAGAGAGAAAATGGATTGGGTCTTATAATTAGGACCAAATAAAAAGTCAAATTGGGTTTATAATAAGGACCGGAGGAGTATATTGGTATAATGTGGCGGTGAAGAGGAATGGAAAGAATATTGGCAGTTTGTGATTTTCGCTATTATTGTCTTGGATTTTGTAGATGATGGGTAGTGAAGAAGATGACAATGAATTTTCAGAGTGAAAATGAACGAGGAATAATAAGTTGAGTGGTTTGTCTTGCAGAATGTTTTGCTCTCACCTAGGAAAGAGTTTTTGTGAAGACATTCTTTCTCGTAATTTTGACTAGAAGGAGAGCGGAAGCAACTGGGAGAGAAGAAGTGGTAGAATCATGCTGTCCTTTTATGTGCTTACCGTTTAAACTAACAGTTTATGCTAATGCAAGGACTAACAAAAATAGTTTGAGTAAATAATAAGGATTGAATAAACAAAAATTACAACGATTTGATTCAAAATCTAATAAAACTATGAGGATTGTTATATAAGTTTTTCCCTTGTTATAATCATATGTATTGAAATAATTATTGTAACTACTGTAGAGATTACCGAGAAACAAAATAAATCAATATAAAAATAAAATAAATTAAGAGTTTTATATTTATGATCAAGGTGAATTTTTAACTTGCACCTGTATAGAACTTTTTTTTCTTTGATACTGACAGACCGCCTCATACGTAATGTTTGGGACCGCGCATGATTTGCTTGGGCCTCAAATGAACTTTGTTTTGGATTTGGCCCCCAGAGCACTACTCACTTGGCTCGAATAAGATCCGAGAAATAAAACAAAGACCAAAATCAAGCGGTACAATTCCCCCTAATCCGCCTGATCTCCGGTCCACGATAACAAATGGGTTATGCAATGTTTATTACTACTCTAATCTCATTTATGAGACCTTATCTATATATATAAATATAGAAATGTTATAAATAGAACCGGAAATAGTATTTTAATGCAATGTACTTGATATTTGTGTGTATAGAAGCAAAGACTGATATCCTGTAATAGGTAAATGTCAATAATTTTTATAAAATATTAACGTATATATTCAATAGAAAATTGATAAAGGACCTAACATTTCATAATTAAACAATTCAAAAAATTAGAAAACTGGAAATATTTTCATGTGTTTTATGAATTTTGAAAACTAAATGGTGCTGCTCATAATTTGTAAAAAATTTGTGATGAGTCAAAATGCATATTTTGCTGGAAGTTTTGATTTAAGAGCATTGGGTATTTGGAAATTTTTTTAGGAGCAAATTTACTTCAAAAATTTAAAAATGTAGCAATATTATTCTCTGTAGCAAAAAACTATCGTTGACTATTAAAATACTGTTAAATTTTTTATTGAAGTGGACAATATTGTAATGATTTTAAATTCGTGACAAATTTACTTTCAAAATAACTTCTAAATATTTAACGCTCTTGAGTAAAAACTTTTTAAATATTTGACATCAACGGTAATAAAATTTACGTTGTAGAAATGATTTTCATTTTAGAAATCCTTCTGCGGTCTCATCTCGAAGGTACTACATAAAGTGGCATGTAATTCTGGGGCTCTGCCTCTGAGGATATGTGGGAACGTAATTTGTATTGTAGTCTTGAGTGAGGTCCCACTTGTGCCAGGAAGCTTTCACCCACCTTCCGAGAAGCTTCCTTTGCAATTTAAGACGACATACCTCACCTTCACTCTCCCCTCGCAGAACTTGTAGCGCCACTTCTCACGCATTGCCGATTCCCACAACATACCCGCTTATTCTCACGCCAAAAACAAAATATTCATCCTTCTCAACATGTCTTTTCCGTTCCCACGTCACCGTCGTAAGGTCTCCGGCAACCCTCCCTCCGCTTCCCACCGCCAGCACTCCGTCCTTGCCCCTCTTTGTGCCGGATTTTCCCTCAATCTCCCCCTTCCGTCGCCGCCCTTCCTTAACACCCCGACTCCCTCCGACTCACCAAGGTCCTAGTGAACGTGACCATCGAGAACAGCTTGGGTCCGGTGCAGGTTCTGATCTCCCCAGACGACACCGTCTCCGACCTGATCAAGGCAGCCCTGGCCATTTATAACCAAGAGAAGAGAGGCCTTTCTTGAATCTTAAGGATCCCAAGCACTATGCTCTCCACTACTCTCCCTTCTGGCTCGAAAGTATCACTTTCACTTCTCTTCCTTTTAGCTTTATCGAGTCATTTTATATTTCTCGATTCTCACAATCTTTCCCGTTCGCCTGCGCTGATCGGTGTTTTGCAGGTTTGAATGCTAACGAGAAGCTGAAGAACTTGGGGTCAAGGAATTTCTTCCTGTGTTCAAAGCCCTCCACTGCCTCTTCTTGCTCCGAGCAAGCCAATATGAGTAAGGATTCTGCATTTCCATTGATGCTGTTCGTCCATCTCCCCTTATAATTATCCCACGTGAATTTGTATGTCCTTGTTTCCTCAAGCCCTTGTCGTCTTTGATTCTGGGAACTATCCGTAGCTGTTAAATAATTAAGATATTTAGCTGCACGCACACACACAGGTGCCTTTAATCTGTTAGCCTCTACGTTGCATTGGTATGATGAGACGATTTACTACTGCTTCCGGTTTGATGTAAATAATTAAATAGGACCAAGTTTTCATCTACGCATGATGTGCCTCTGCGAAGATCGATGGATTTGATGTGACTATCTTTCAAGTATGTATTGTTCTAACGATAAACTTCTTCTCTGCAGAGACTTGTTTTTTAAAAAAAGAAAGATGGATTGATAATTATATGGACATATCATATATATAGTGACTTGTCCTTTTGGGGACATATGATAAAATTGGTCTGACACAGTAAGATTAATAGGGACATACACTCCACTCCGGTCTTTATTATAAGACCCGTTTGATTTTTTGTTTGGTTCTAATTATAAGACCCCAATATATTTTCTCTCCTATATTTATGCATTTTTTTCCAAGATAATCCTTCTAATAATGATAGTTCTAGCCAATATACTTAATTAGCAAGGATATTTTAGGAATGACAACACTTATTTATTACAAATAACTAACTTAATTTACTTCCTTAATCCCCTCAAATAAGTCAACTGGGTCTTATAATTAGGACCGGAGGTAGTATATAGCAACTGCGAATACGTATATGTTGCCCATACGTAACGTAATCTTAAGCTAGAATAGAATGACTGCATTGCCTATTCATTTATATATTAATGGTCGATGGTATATTGATGTGACTATCTTTCAACTCTCCATGCGATTATTGGAAACTTATAATGATGAATAATCCAATTTATTCATTTTTTGTTGAATAGGTTAAATTTTCAAAGTCAAAGGGCAATAATGGTGTCATTTGATTCGGTAAAAAAAAAAAAATCACCTGAAAGAAAATTTATCGAAATAAGTTTTTAAAATATTATCCAGCTTATGCGTAGGTCATAAGTTCACAAAAATCTGTTTTAATTAATTTTTGGAAGTAATCTTATTGAAGAGGGAATGTTTTCATAGAAAATTATTTGGAAGATGGGATTAAAAGAAATTTATCTCTTAATGACAAAATTATATTTTGAGTTATTTCAGAAATCAAGCACTTTACGAAAACAGAAAATTTTAAAATTAGAATTGTCTCAAATCTACAACAAAAATGTACTAGTAGCGTGTTACTTGCACTCCGTTCAATTTATAAGCCCCATATATGCGATGAACACCACACACCAAATAATAATTTAATCCGTCAAGAGATGAAAAATAAAATAATAAAAATGTGTGGAAATAAATTAAGTGAGCTCATTCATTCTTTCTGACGAGTACTTACTTTTACCCACTAATATTTTTTTAATGCAATTTACTCACTAATATCTGACGACTCATAGCCGCGTGATGCACAGTTAATATTCCAATAAATTATACAAAAGATACAGTCGTTTGGCGAATAATATAATGTGTGTGTAGCTTCAATATATATTTTTTTTAAAAAATATACACACCTCTTGTATGTAAGTAAGAAATTGCTATTTAGATATATTAATATATATCTGAGTCAATGAGAACAATTAAAATGAATTTTGACGAATTATATTTTCATTCGATAATTATTAACTTATGATAAACGTGATAACTGGAAAAGATAGTAAGCTAATTTCAGATCGCTATTCTTATTTTTATATACTGGGCATTGAACTGCTTTGACCAAATGACCTGCGATGAGTTGATCTCCTTTCATCTTTGTTTCAATCCTTGTTGCCAGTTTGGTTGAAAATGTTCAATTTACTCGTTAATTATTAGCTTTTCAATAGTCAAGTTCACTTTCTACGATCTGGCTAGCTATTTGGGAGCCATGGTTTTGGTAGAAGGGAGAACAACTTCCTGCAATATTTTTTGGGTTAAATAATCTTTGATCCTCAAGTTTATCCTTCCTCAAGTTTCAAATCATAGACTTTGGTAGGTCAGATGGTTCAAATTTTTATTGGATTATACCGATCAATGTTTTAAATAAAAAGAAACTTGAGAAACCAAAACATGTTATTTAAAATTTGAGCGATAAAAATTAAAGTAAAGGTAAACTTGAAGGACTAAAATTTGTATTAACCTATGCTTTTTTTTTCATAAAATCTATTTTACTTAAAAATTATTTTTTCATAAAAATATTTTACCCAAAATAGTTTTTTCAAAATATATTCTCTACGATTTGAATCTTCTAAAATAACTCAAGTGTAGCTATTAACCTCCTTTTTCATATTATCTTCTTAATAATAAAAAAACAGATAAATATTTGTCTGTATAGCTTATTTATCTTCTAAACTCGTTGCTCAATACCTTTTATCCTATATGATTTCACCAAAGACAGTTGATAATATTTGATAGAATCAGTCACATCTAAATTTGAAAATCGATGCATGTTTTGAAATTCAGGCTGAAGATCTAACTATTATTCAAACGCACTAACAATACTGAGCTAAACATATTTATTGAAATGAAAATAGTCGAAACATACCAAGTAAACCTACCTTAAAATTGCCGATACTACACTTTACTAGAAAAACCAATCACTATGAATTGTTTTTATAAATAATTTAGTAATTATCTTAAAAATACTTTAGATGATTTTAAAAAAAAGTTATATTCAATCACAGTTACACACTGTGGAATTTGAATAATCTGAGAAAGTGAACTAATTGAGTTAAATTTTAAGTAAGAGTCCTTATAAACAAGTTATTTAGATTTACTGCGCAATAATTAAATTATTATTGCAGATGAAAGAAAGTTAGTTTCATGAAATAAATATTTTGTTAATCATTATTTCTCAGAATAAATAAAATGGATTTATGCAATAGAAAATATTGAATATTGGACGTTGGCAAAAACAAATATTGTTCACATTGGAGTAGCTATTAGGGAGAATCTTGACAAAAAAACTTTAAATTTTAAAATTTTAAATTAGTTTTATTTATTACATTTTAATAATAAGGCAAACTTCAACATATTTAATTTTTGCAGCCATTCACACTTGAAATTTTAGATGTATTTTTGTGAAATTTACTCTAGATATTAGATAGGCACTTGTTACTATTTAATACAGTAATTTATTCACGACGATCAAGCCCACGCTTCATCGGCTAGAAAATTCAAAGAGCAAAAGGGGAATAAAGGGTGGCTTGCCTGGCTTGGATTGGAATCTTAGCTTCCCCGACTAGCTGGAATTCTGTTTTGAGCGGCTTTAAGCTGTCTCGGGCTACTTTCCCGTCTTGTTTGCAGTTTTCATAACTCAAATCGACAACCGTGCGCGCCACCCCTAACGTGCGCACTTCCCACCGCATGAAAGCAGCGCGTTCCGCCGGAACTGCAGTCGGAGGGAAGGCACCAGAGAGAGCGCGAGTTAAAGAAGGAGGTGAGGGAAGACCATGGGCGATCTATTTGCGTGGCTTATCTCCTTCTTTCTCCTTATTGCCTTACTCGTCATCGTCACCTACCAGGTCAATCCACGCAAACCCTAGCTGCGTATACATATATATCATTCCTTTATGTCAATCCATCTTTTAAATCTGAAGCAATTCATGCGTCATTCGACTACGCATTATTCGAATTATGTGCCTCTTTTTGAACTGGATTGTATTCCAGATTGTTATCCCCAGCCAATCCTGATTACATTTTTAAATGACAATTAGTTGCTCTGAAGGGAAAAAAACCTGGGAAGGATTCTCCCTATTCCATATTTCCTTGCAAAATGTAGTTTTTGGTTTAGGTAACGAACGTGATTTGGCACCCCAATAACCAACATCGGTGCTCACTCAGCTGATAATACCGCAAAAGGGTGATTATAATTAGTAAACATTGGAGTCTTCACTGATAATTTTATTGTGTAAATGCTTTTATTTTTTTTTTTTTTTTTTTTTGGGATCTTACAATAGAACTTTTCCATTAACTATTGAGGGGATTTTTTTCATGAAAAAAAAAAATCAAATCACATCGCTCCCTTGTTTTGGTCCACGATTTCAGGGGAATGTAGGGTACCATATCAGGCAATGTTGAACTGTATCTAATCATTCTTTGCAAGCTATGTGTAGTAGTCCATAGATCGACAGATAGTCTGCACTTCTTGATTTTTTGCAATTGTAAAGTGGAAGTTCAATAGACGTTCTATGTAAAATGAAGCTCGGTTCCTGTAATCAATAATATTTCATGTGTTACATTGAGCTATGGACTAGCAGAGCGAAAAACTTCATACTTTTTAAACAAGATGTTGGATACACAGTTGGAATTGGATTGCTGTTCGTAAATATGTGGATATAGGACTTCTAGTAAATAGACAAACGGTTTAGTACATGGAAGCTTGTGTGTTTCTACGAGTAATCACATTACAGAATTATTGTTTCCTCTAGTTTTAGGTAAAGTTCTATTCACCGAAATTTGATGGTTGATGGGGTGAGGAGGTACTCATGAAATCTGATAAAGATGAAGGAAACAATGATGCTGGGATTCTTTTTTTCTTACACTCTCAAGTTCTTTTGCTGTGATTTATACTTCAAGAGTTTCGTGTGTTTCTAAGTCTACATTCCTTACTTCTTTGTCTGTGCTTCAGAGCCTTTTGAAGATTGTTAGGTTTTCATAATTCCTCTGAATTACATTTTGTATGTTGCTCTAGATCTTATGTGGCGTACGCTAACATGGTTCAAAATCTGTTGCAGCTGATGTGTTTGGCTGACCTCGAATTTGACTATATAAATCCTTATGACTCCTCATCTCGGATAAACAGAGTTGTTGTCCCTGAGTTTATCATGCAAGGTGTCCTTTGCTTGTTCTACCTTGTGACAGGGCATTGGGTTATGTCACTTTTCTGTGCTCCGTACCTATACTACAATGTGAGATCGTAAGTTCTCTCCCTATATACAAATAACAGGGAAAATTTGTTTTTTGTTCCAAATATTGTGACTGGTTATTATGTGTCAAGAACCCTTAAAGGCAGAATGTGGCCAAAAAATTGGAAAAGAAAAGAGGGGTGGGCTGCAAATCATGTATGACCACTAGTTGAAAAGAGAGTTATTGAATTCTGGGTATTTGCATTCTGCAGCATTTAGATGGAGTGTGAGTG